AAAAAAAAAAGAAATAACCCTTAGGACAGAGTTGGCAATTGCTGCTTTTCCAACCTCCTACAAAAATGGCTGACATATAAAAGCAGACAGAAAACCCCACAATGGGGTACTGAGGAACAGGGAAAGGTGCTGTGGTCTAATCTTATCTTTAATCTATGGGGAATGAGCTTGGTTTAGGAGCAACTTCAACTATGAAAGGGCAAGAATACTCCCTAAAACAGCAATTCCAAAACTCTGGTCCTTTAGAGGTTTTTTGTACTTCAGTTCCCAGAAGCCTCAGCCATCTTAGTCAGTGGTCTGGGATTCTGGGAGCTGAAGTCCAAAACACATAGCAGGTAAGAGTTTGGGAATTACTGCCCTAAATCCCCAGTGTAAATCGGAAAACCATAAAAGGGGAAAGAAAACCCCAACCCTACATTCCTTCCTCCCTTCTGAAAAGAGCAAATCTTTCTCCCTACACCCCAAAAGAGCAGCAGCTCTCTCATCTGTATTCCTTTTGTTGTTGTGTGCCTTCAAGTCATTTCTGACTTATGGTGACTCTACCATGGAGTTTTCTTGGTAAAATGTGTTTAGAGATTTGCCATTGCCTTCCCCTGAGGCTGAGAGTATGTGACTTGCCCAAGGTCACCCAGTGGGTTTCATGGCCGAGATGGGATTCGAACCCTAGCTTCCAGAGTCACAGTCTGACACTCAGACCAAGACAAAATCCTAAATAGTATGCAGCATGGTCTAGTAACTGTCATATATGTTTTAGGGTATATTAGAAACCTTCATCCGAAATAATCCCCTAAATCTGAAAGGAGAGGCAGATCCCTCATAATCCAAAACCATAAATGTGAATAAAGTACAGTTACTAGCCTTGAAAAGGGAAAGGGGCAGAAGTCCTGACCCAAAAGCCCCAGCCTCAAATAGGACCCCAACTTTATAGGGTTGGAGCTAAATTTCCATTTCCAATCCTGTTCCTAATCTTGAATTACAGATTAGAAAGGGAGGCCCAGTACACAAAGGATGGGAACCCCCTATTCAAATGTTCCCCTATACCGGCCTGAACACCTTAAAGGCACCAGATCCTGGCTAATCTTGGAAACTAAGCAGGGTCAGCTTTGGTGAGTAGCTGGATGGGAGACCGCCAAGGAATCTCCAGGTGCTGGAGGCTCTATTTCAGAGGAAGGAACTGGCAACAAAACCACCTCTGAAAGAAAACTCTACAAAACTCATGGGGTTGCCATAGACTGACAGACAATTTGAAGTCACATACAGAGAGAGAGCCAGTGTGGCATAGTGGTTTGTGTGTTGTGTTCGACTACAACTCTGGAGACCAGGGTTCGATTCCCTGCTCGGCCATGAAATCCACTTGGTGACCTTGGGTGAGTCACATGCTCTCAGCCTCAGGGGAAGGCAATGGCAAACCTCCTCCGCAGAAATTTTGCCAAGAATACTCCATGGTAATAAGTTGGAATTGACTTGAAAGCACACAACAACAACACACATATATATGTAGACAGACACACACACCCTTGACATCCCAAACCCACAGCCTACTCCCCACTCACAACAACAACAACCAGCCTACAAAACCTCCAATACTTCATAGACAGAACTTATATGAGGTCACTATTATCAATCATGGTTGGCTGTAAATCATGGTTTCCCACACACACACACAAATGTGTGTAGTTTTTATTTCTTTGTCTGATTTGTGTTGGTACAACAAAGCCTTAAAGTAACAACAACAACAACAGTAATGAGATGATAATTTATAGAGATCACATTAATACCCACACACACACCACCCCAAAAAAGATGGGAAGGAGACCAGGAGGCCTCTCACAGACACACTCTCACACACATACTCCCTCCACACCCCAAAACAACACCCTATTCCCCACTCACCCCATACACACCACCACCACAACAACAACCCCCTTTCAAAACCTCCCAATACCATATGGAAGAGACCTATATGACCAATCATGGTTGGGTGTCAACTGCAGGGTGCTTTTTTTGTGGCATTTTTGGGTGTGTAGTTTTATTTCCTTGTCTGAATTGTGTTGACACAACAAACCCTTAAAATGATGATGATGATGATGATGATGATGACGATGATGATGATAGTAATGAGAAGAATGAAGCTAAGTTACAGATATCACATAAATACCCCCCACACGCACACACACATGCTTGCACCACCCCAAAAAAACATGGGAAAGGAGCCTAGGAGGGCCTCTCTCTCTCACACACAAACTCACACAACACTCTCATATGCACACACACAACCTCTGTCACACACACTTTCATAGATCTCTCTCACACACACAAACTCTCAATCTCTCTCATACACACAATCTCACTCGCATACACACAAAAATCTTTCACACACACTCATAAACACAGCACAATCTCTCTCACACACAAATCTCTTGCACACATACAATATCTCTCTCACATACACTCTCACTCACAAATCTCTCATATACACACTCACACATTCTCAAACACACACAATCTCTCTTTCACACACTCTCATAGATGTGACAGAACCTCACATCCACACACACACAAATCTCTCACACACTCTCATACACAGACACACAATTTCTCTCATTCTCTCTCACACATACTCTCAGATACACACAATCACTCTTACATACACTCACACATTCACACACAAATCTCTTACACACATACAATCTCTCTCAGACACACTCAGATATCTCTCAGACACACAATCTCTCTTTCACACAGACACTCTCACACACAAATATCTTTCATACTCAAAAATTCTCTCACACCCTCTCTCTCTCACACACACATACTCTCTTATAGATGTGACACACAATCTCTTTCACACACAGACACACACTCAGAGATCTCATACACACAAAAATCTCACACACACACTCAAACACACAAATCTCTCTCAGACAGACACTCACACACACATACACAAACAATTCTCTCACACCCTCTCTCA